CTTCAGGAGATCTGTTGCAGTCGGTTGAGCCTTACGCCAAGATTGAGTCAAGGAAGGGGGCGGGTTACTGGGGAGGCGCTGAGGCAACTCATTCAAGCACGGGCAGCGCTGAGCAGCCAGCCTGCAGTCAGAGGTGAGCACAGCTGGGCCTCGGGACGTCTTGGACTCCAGCCTGGGCAGCTGCTGACTCTTCCTGTCTTTGCTTGCCTTTGTGTGCCGACTGCGCTGCCTCTGTGTCCACGTAAGGGACCAGGAATGCAGGTGGCTGCCTCCGCATCTCCATTCCTTCTTCTTGCGCCCACGACAAAGAAAGGCCCCGTTTCTGGAGCTTCTACTGGACAAAAATCCTGGGGAGGGATTGGCTTGGCCAGGTGTGGGTCAGGGGTCTTCTCCTGGACCAATCAACTCTAGCCGGAAGACCGCCTCTCTTTAGAGATCGGGCTTAGCAGATCCTGTATGGTCACAGTTGGAGAAGGCGACCATTTCTCAGAAGGAAGGGTGGGGAGATGCGAAGGCACTCATTCCTTCCTTTATGTTTCCCACTTGCTCGACACATACCTATCGAGCATCTATGATGTGGATATGATATCCCTGAGTGTCAAAATGGTTAAGTAAAAAAAAATTAAAAGGCTAAGTGCTCAGCTAGTAATGGTGAAGGTTACCCGTTTGAATCCACCCAGAGGTGCCTTGTATGAAGGCCTGCGGATTTGCTCCTTAAAGATCAGCCACCGACAAACCTCGAACTCAGTGCCTTCAAGTGAATTCTGACTCTCGTGACTCTATAGGGCAGGGTAGGACTGCCCCTGTGGGTTTCTGAGGCTGTCCCTCCGTGTCGGAGCAGATGGCTTCGTCTTTCTCCTGGGGATCAGCTGGAGGATTTGAACTCCCAACCTCACTGTGGGTCAGGCTCTGGGCCGCGCTCCTTAACACACAGCAAAGCCGCCAGCTCTCAGTAGGCTCTGGTTCCAATCATGTCTCCTCTGGAAATCGACGTGGGCTATCCCGTGTAGTCCAGGCTCGGCCAAAGCGCCTCCCCTATTCGCCCAAGAAGGCAGGCGTGCTTTCTGTCGTGTGCAGACAGGCTTCACATGAGGGCACTTTGGGGCCATTTTCACTGTGAGGGCACCAGTGGCTGAAACACAAAGGGCTGGCAGGAAGGGCCGCCTGGGGCAGCTGCAGCTGTGGGGAGATGGGCGCCAAGAGCTGGTAGGTGAAGGGCGTGGCTTCCTGTTGGGCCGCAGAGATCTGTGGGTCTGGCTCCCGTCAGCCCAGGAATTCCCAGGCACTGAATGGTTGGTTGGGCAGCCCACTAAGGTTCTATGGAATGTGAATGATAAAAATACAAAACCCGGGCTCCACTCACAGGCCTGGCAGGAAGTCTCAGGCCCTCCGCTGCGCAGTCCTGCCAGTGGAGAAGAGGCTGCTCTGCTCGCAGCTCTGTGCGGCCCAGCGCCCTGGGAGGGGATTGTTGGGGGGCGGGGGCTGGGACCCCGCTGGGGGACTCTCCTAGGAGTGTTCTTCTGTGGGGGTTTCGCAAGAGAAACACATGGGTTTCACTCACTGCAGCAAGACCTTCGCCAGCAGGGGTCTCCCCAGCAAGAGAGATGCTCTGTGTGGGGTGCGATGGATGGGAGGGGCCAGGCTGTAGTAGGTGGCTTTGAGGATCAAAAGATAGGGATTGGAAATCCCGCTCCTCGTGGTGGTTATGCTAACCCTGTCCTATAGGGTCACTATGAATCGGAATCGGCTCCGTGGCAGTTTTCTCTTCCTCCTCTCCCGGAGAGGCAGACTGTTGGTCCCAAGAGTGTCATGGTTACCCACTGGGCTGCTAACCACAAGGTCAGCTGTTCAAACATCACCAGCCGCTCCGAGGGAGGACTTTCTACTCCTAAAAGAGTCGCAGTCTCAGAAACCCCCAGGGCCAGTTCTACTAGGTCCTACAGGGCCGCTAGGCGTCGGAATCAACCTGATGAAAGGAAGCCTGGTTATGTGTTGGACTGCTAGTCGCAAGGTTAGCAGTTCAAATCCACTAGCCGCCCCGAAGGAGAACGATGATGCTGCCTGCTCCTGTACGGTTTACAGTGCAGGACCCAAAGGGGCAGTTCTATTCGGCCCTAGGGCGTCCCGAGTAGACTGACTTGATGGAATTGTTCAGTAGTGGTAGCACACCTTCCCTGTGGAGGCCCGGGTTCTGTTCTCGGCCCACACACCTCCAGTGCAGCCGTCAACCGTCTGGCGGTGGAGGCTTGTATGTTGCTAGGATGCTGCACAGGGTTCCATGAAGCTTCCAGACAAAGACTGAGCAGGCAGAAGAAAGGCCTGGTGATCGCGTTCTGATCACTCTCTGCCAGGAAAGCCCCCCGGGGCACAGCTCCACTCTGACACGTGTGGAGTCGCCGTGGGTTGGATTCAACTTGAGAGCAACTGGTTTTACGAGGAAACAGAAGCTACATGGTAGACAGTGGGGCAGACAGAGCTGGTGGGTCATCCGATGGAGGGGAGCCGGCTGGGACCAGTCCCAGTCCATACGCAAACCTCTGTATGGTAAGCCCACCGTAAACCTCGCTTGTCTTAAGACCGTCAAGAGGCTCTGCTTCTTTGAATTCAACCTACAGCTTCCACAGCTGATGGGAGGGGTTTCAGCCTTTTGACCGGTCTGGTATCACTACCACAAAGTGAGCAGTTCAAAACCACCAGTCTCTCTGAGGCAGAAAGATCAGGTTGTGAAAACCTACTTAGGGTCACCATGCATCAGAATGAACTTGGTGGTTCTGGGTTTGGTTGCTCACACTGTTTATAGGTCTCCGTCACTCACAATCATTCCCTGAAAATGTCACTCATTGTCTCTGGGCCTGTGCAAGGACCTTGTAGGTTTCCATTCGTGTCTGCAGGAATACAGGCGTTCAGAAAGACCGCTGGAGGCCTGCCGGGGCGAACCCAGAAGATGGGAATAAACAGCAGCAGTGGATCCACACACGTCGGCTCTGTGCAAAGGGGAGCTGGTCCTGTGGGCTCTTGCCCAGCGCCGAAGCCGGGAAATGGAGGCGAGAGGCAGTTGGTGGTGGGAGGGAGAGAGGCTGCCAGCTTGTGTGGGAAATGGATAAGGCATGTGGGGTTCGGTGTCTTCCCCGGCCCCCCCCCCCACTCCATTAGTAGCCCCTACAGGACAAGGTAGAACTGCCCTGTGGGTTGCCAAGACTGTAACTCTCTATAGGAGTTGAAAACCTCATCTTCCTCCCTCGGAGAGCTGGTGGTTTCAAACTGCTGACCTGGATGTTACCAGTCCAACTCTTGACCCACTACGCTCCGTGTCACCGAGTGGACGCCGACTCGTAGCCACCCCCCTGTGGGCTTCCAAGACTGGAGCTGTTGACAGGAGCAGAGAGCCCAGTCTCTCTCCTGCGGAGCAGCGGGTGGTTTCCAACTGCCCACCATGGGCGTCACAGCCCCACGGGTAATCTCGACACCACCGGGGCTCCCAGCGAAGGTTATAGGAGGCCTCCTGGGGGGCGGGGGGACTCAATTAAATGGCAGGCGTGAAAGAGTTTTCAGAAGTGTATTCAGGTGCATATGATCAATATAGTGATGGATTGCTTCATAAGCCTGGTGCGTGATGACTGCCAGTCTCCTTGGGTGACCTTGGACCTCAGCCTTCCATACCTTCATCGCTTTTCTGGATTGGAGGGAGCAGCAAAGGCACAGAAAGTGCTTAGCCTGACATCTTCTACGCCATCTTCTTAAAAACACATCTTCCCCACGTTGCCACCTCTTCCAGGCTTCCCGGTGGCATAGTGGGCCATGAGGTGGACTGCCAACTGCAAGGTCCACGGTTCGAAACCACCAGCTGCTCCACGGGAGAAAGATGGGGCTTTCTACTCCCGAAAAGAGTTCGTCTCCGAAACCCACAGAGGCACATTTCTACGCTGGCCTATAGAGTCACTGTGAGTGGGCATCATGGCAGTGAGGATTTTGTTGTTGTTTGGGGGCGGGGCGGGGCAGAGGGGAGGGAAACAGCACTATCACCGAGGGGAATTTCTCTCTGGCTGGTGTCCACGCCCACCCACCATGGAAAAGCCTTGAGGCCTGGGAATGAGATCGTGGAGAGCCTGTGGACCCTGAAATGGAACATGGTTTCCTTCGCTGTTACTGCAGGCGAATTCCCTATGACTGTCTGTCTCAAACCCCCCAAGCACATTGCCAGTGTTTGGGGGGGTCAGTGAATACTGACTCACAGGGGGGAACCCATGGCCTGGAGTAGAGCAGCCCCGGAGGGTTCAGGCTTGGAATCTTTACAGAAGTGACCGCGGCATCTTTCTCCTGAGGGGTGGCTGGTGGCTTCCAACCCCTGACCACTGAGGGGCCAGAGGAGCACTTTAGCAGTGTGCCACCAGGGCTCCCTGCCTGGCTCATCACCAGGGGATTGAGGGAGTCTGTTTTCCTCACCACTAAGCCATGAGGGCGGGTTTACCCTGTTCCCCGTGGCTGCTAGTGGAGATGGGGTTCGTCTTCACAGGAGACTGCTTCCGGCCAGCAGGAACTGCACCAGCGCCCCCCTTGGCAGGGTTGTGAGAGGTGATGATGTGTATTCTACATGGCTGAGGGGTGTGTCATGTCCTTAGATGTCCTCACCGGGCCAAGTCACCCACAAAGGACACCAGCTCATGTTAGCAGAGTCCCTCCACCCCACTCCCTACTATCAGGCATGTAGATCCCGGTGATATTAAAGGATTCGTCCACCTGCATTGGGCTGTGAGAGGTTCAGGTCTGCAGCTGGGGTTCTGGCTGGGTACCAAGCAAAGGATGCTGGGACAGGGGTTAGTCAGAGAACAGGATGGGGCAGCTGCCTCAGAAAGCAGCCAAGACAGATGGTCCCTGGCTGCAGGAAGGATGGGAAGAGTATTAGGTGACAGTCCCCGAACCCAGTCCGGAACTAACACCCCCCTCTTCTCACACGCATACAGCTTTCAGAGCTCAGAATAACCCGAGTACCAGGCAGCAGGATGGCAGGGGCCCTGCTTGGTGCCCTGTTCCTTTTGGGGCTCCTAGGTATGGTATGGGGTGGGGGCAGGTATGGTATGGGGGAAGCAGGTGTCGAGAGATGAGAAGCATTTGGACACATAGGGAGAATCGACAAAAGAAACGCGGGCAGAGATGGAAACCAAGACAAAACGAGCGGCAATGTTCGGTCCCCAGGCAGAATATTCTTGATTTGGATGCCAGACACCGAAAGCCAGCCTCCGCTGTGGCAGCGAGCACCGCCAGAGGGCAGACATGCAGACCCAGAGGGCAGAGAGGGAGGCCCTGCGCCCTGGTCATCCCTCTGCCCTCTCTTCTCAACCCCATCCACAGGCAGAGGTGAGGAGAAGAATGAGGAGGTACGTCTCTATCACCATCTCTTCAAGAACTATGACCCCCAAGCCCGACCAGTGAGGAGGCCGGAGGACACAGTCACCATCTCCATCAAGGTCACCCTGACCAACCTCATCTCCCTGGTAAGGCACCCCTCAACTCATCCCTGAGCCCCAAGCCACACTTCTTGTCCCGAGCTCACCTCTGGCCGCGAGATCCCACGTGGAGGGGTCTCAATCTCCTGTCCACAGAACGAGAAAGAGGAGACTCTCACGTCCAGCGTCTGGATTGTAATCGTGAGTCAAAGGCAGGGAAGCATGAGAGTGTGCGTGTGTATGTGTCTTGCCCAGGGCCCTCCGTGGGTTTGTAGTTAGTGTGCGTGTGCGTGGCGGCGGGGAGGGTGACCCGCAGGACAGATGTCCTTCCATCCCCCCACCCTTAGAACTGGCAGGACTACCGGCTCAACTACAGCAAGGAGGACTTTGGGGGCATACAAACCCTGCGTGTCCCCTCGGAATTCGTGTGGCTGCCAGATATTGTGCTGGAAAACAAGTGAGGGCCGGGCCTAAACCCGGGCGGGGTGGGGCGGAGCCTCCACGGTGGTTCAGGCCAGGGCCAAAAGCTCCCTTCGGACCCGCAGTATTGACGGCCAGTTTGGCGTGGCCTACCACGCGAACGTACTGATCGATGAGGGTGGTCAAGTGAGGTGGTTGCCGCCGGCCATCTACCGCAGCGCCTGCGCCGTGGAGGTCACCTACTTCCCCTTCGACTGGCAGAATTGCTCCCTCATTTTCCGGTGGGAACAGTTACTAAGGGGCCCGGGAGCCACGGGGACAGGGATGTGGAACCACTGGGTGGGGCACCCCCAGCAGGGTACGCAGTGGGGTAGGGGTGGGGGCCGGGCGCGGGCAACAGCGCTGCGGAGCGAGGCGGGCTTCGGGGAGAGGGTGGAGCCTTGTCTGGGGGTGGGTGGCCCGCTCCCGCGTGGGTGGTCCGAGTTTCCCTGGTGGGAGTCAGACTCTGGCTGCAGTTCTCAGACGTACAGTGCCCAAGAGGTGGCGTTCATCTTTGCGCTCGATGATGCTGGCGAGGCCATCAACAAGTTCGAAATTGACACTGAGGATTATACTGGTGAAGCCCCCTTCCTGCTCCGAAACGCCCGCTTCCTGATGGGGTCCACAGAGGGGGCTTTTCCGAGTGGGACCGTCCCAGACCACCCATGCTGGGGAGGGGCACTGGCAACGGATTCGCCTCAAATCCTTCTCAACTGTCAGTCTGGTCCTGCCATCTCCTGTGGGGCCTTTCCTTAACTTAACCCTTTTCTGCACGAGGGGCCCCCATCCTGCTGGCCCACGGCCCAAGCAGCCTAGGCCACCTGCTTAGTTCACCCCAGTCCAGACCCAGCCTCACCCTTGGTTCCCCGGGTCCAGTGGGCAGTTCAGGGCCCTCCACTCCCAAGGCGAACTAGCCACGTGCTCTCTGCAGAGAATGGCGAGTGGGCGATCGACTACTGCCCAGGGGTGATCCGCGGCCAGGATGGAAGCGCAGCTGACGCCCAGAGAGCTGCCGACGTCATCTACACGCTCATCATTCGCCGGAAGCCGCTCTTCTACGTCATTAACATCATTGTGCCCTGCGTGCTCATCTCAGGCCTAGTCCTGCTCGCCTACTTCCTGCCCGCGCAGGGTAAGGAGTCACCCCAACTCCAAACCCCGGGCCCCTCCTGGGGCGCTGGGCCCGCTCTCACCAGGCGGCGCCCCCTCCAGCCGGCGGCCAGAAATGCACCGTCTCTATCAACGTCCTGCTGGCCCAGACGGTTTTCCTGTTCCTGATTGCCCAGAAAATCCCAGAGACCTCTCTGAGCGTGCCACTGCTGGGCAGGTGCGTGCAGACGGCGCCCCACCTCCACCTCACCCGCCCAGTGACCACGTGGGGACTGGCCGGTGCAGAGGGCGGAGCTAGGAAGGGACCCATGGGCGGAGTCGAGAGAGGCACGGTCCGGGAAGGGGCTCTGGGAGCTCTGGCGGTCTGGCGGCGTTCTGGGCTTTATTTGCACTGGAGTTGGGGCTGGAAGAGCGGAGGCACCTCCAGGCCCGTGTCCTCTGCGCTGCTGCTAGTCGCCACCTTGAGGTCTCCCGAGTATCTCTGTTGGAGAACGGTCCCTAGAGCTCAGCTATCCCCAGCGACGCTGTCTCGAGCCCGCCCCGCCCCTGTCGCACACTCACCAGTCCCTCCGGGGGTCCCAGGCCCAGCTGGCGCTGCCATTGTTGCAGAAAGGAGGCGGACCCCTGCAGACCCCGTCCAGACAGGCATAACCAGGCCACCTGGAGGAGGAGCCGGGCGCTCGCGCCCATCACAGCCCCCGCTTGTCCAGCCCCCTGCCCCGCGGCCTGGGCGACCCGGGTCAGCGCTCGACCCGGATCTCCGGCGGCTGAGGCTGGGCCCCGGCTGCAGTGATCGCCGTCTCCTCGCCGCCGCTGCAGCCACAGGGCTGAGATCTGCGGTGGGGGTGCTGGCATTAGTAGGGGGGCAAAGGTGCCTGCTTCCCGCTGCCCTACTCTCCTCCCTCTGTGCCCCACCTCCATCAAGGTGGCGCCGAAACGCAGGAAGCTGGCCACAGCTTCTCTGACCACCAGCCTGAGGGTGGGCTCTAGGGCGGGGGCGTTCCCGGGCCCTGGGGGCTCTGGCGGCTGCTCCAGAGTCTTCAGCTCTTCGAATCTCTGCTCCAGATATTCACGGGCTGCAGTCAGGGCGAGGTCCAGGGAAGAGAGGAGCGGGGACTGGAGAGCCACCTGGAGGAGGGGCAGGGACAGTAGGGCCATCGGGCCCATAGTGCATGGGTCAAAGGGGCGGGGGCACTGGAGACCTGCCCAGAGGGTCTCCAAGTGTCCCCCCCTGGGCAGGGCCGTTGGGCTCGCCTCACCTCGGTGGAGCTGTGGAAGTGGTAGACCCATAGCAGGGTGTCCAGGGAGCTGGGTGCCCCCTTCATGGCGCCCCAGGTGGGAGAGCAGGACCCAGAAGCATCTGGGGCCCCTAGGGGACGTAGCCCCTTTCTCTGCACTGGGATGTTTGTGAGGTCAGAGAACAAGCGGCACCCTCTGGGGCAGGAGAGTGAAGAGGCTCTGACGTCATACAGGCCAGGGGAGCTGTGACGTCATGCACCCCCCCCACCCCGGGCTCTTCAGGTACCTAATGTTTGTCATGGTGGTCGCCACACTCATTGTCATGAATTGCGTCATCGTACTCAACGTGTCCTTGAGGACGCCCACCACGCACACCATGTCCCCGCGGCTGCGCCACGTAAGCATCAGGTGGTCACCCCGGGGGTGGGAAGTGAGGTTGTGAGCTCACTCCGCCCTGGCCCCGCCCTAGGTTTTACTGGAACTGCTCCCCCGCCTCCTGGGCTCCGGGGCGCCCCCCGAAGCTCCCCAGGCTGCCTCACCCCCGAGGCGGGCATCCTCTGTGGGCATACTGCTCCGAGCCGAGGAGCTGATTCTCAAAAAGCCTCGGAGCGAACTGGTGTTTGAAGGGCAGCGGCACCGCCACGGGGCCCGGACCGGTGAGCGATGGGGTCAGGGCAGCAAGGTGCCTGCCACAGGGTGGTCCCAGGTAACATCCTCTGTTGTCCCCCACCAGCTGCGCTTTGCCAAAACCTGGGCGCAGCTGCTCCTGAGGTGCGCTGCTGTGTGGATGCTGTGAACTTCATGGCTGAGAGCACAAGAGACCAGGAGGCCAGTGGCGAGGTGGGCCACGGGGGAGGTCCAGCTTCCTGTGCCACTGGCGGGCGCAGCACCCCCATGTCACCTGTGCTTGCACCCACCCCTTTCTCAGGAGGTGTCCACCTGGGTGCGCATGGGAAAGGCCCTCGACTATATCTGCTTCTGGGCTGCACTGGTACTCTTCAGCCTGGGCTCCGGCCTCATCTTCCTCGGGGGCTTCCTCAACCATGTGCCCGCCCTGCCTTTTCCCCCGTGCCTGCAGGCCTGAGCCCGCCCTGCCTGCCACCAAGAGAAGCTGGTTTTGGACAAGTTAAATTGTTGTTTGTAAAAGACCACCGCCACTGCGGAGAATAAAATAAACCCGCATCTGAATTCTCTGGGGCTGTGTGTACCTTTGTGCAGGCCGAGCAGGCCGGGGAGAGGGCGCAGCCTCGGGGACTTCCCAGCTTCCCTAGGACACCAGCCCCTCAAGCCTCTGGCCTCTCCATCCACTTGCCTGCTGAGCTGTGAGACCCCACCCCGGGCCGGTGTGCACACCACACCAGGCAGCTCGGCTCATTGATCAGACCCTCAGGGTGGGCTCCCCTAGTCTTCAGGGTTAAGGTTGAGGATGGCCCCTCGATGAGTCATTTATCCTTAGCTCCCCTCATCCTACCACCACACACAACATTCTCAGCATACTCTGTTTGTCCCCCCCATGCTCCCATACCTACATGCCAACCCCAGCCAGTGCCAGGATCAGGAACGAGCCAAAGAAAACGGAGCTGGAAGTGGTGGGAGCTGGTTGAATTGTCTTTATTAACAAACGGGATGTCCAAGGCCACTACATTGAGGGGGGGAAGGCAGGGAAGGGGCTACTTGCTGCTCACACTATATACAGATAGATGCAAGCAAGGGGGTCTGGGGGCCAGAGCTCCCTGCTCCCTCCCACCACCAAGGAAGGGCAGAGGCCAGAAAAGGAGAAGGGAGGCTGGAAAGGGAGGAATGTTTTGGCTGGGGGTGGAGGGTCCCCCCTCCATTCCCTGGGGCTTGGGGGGAGGGGAAATCATTAAAGTGCTTTCAGAAAATGAGGAGATGGTCCCTGCCCCTGCCTGGAGTGGCTGGTGACCCCCATAAAACCTAGGGCCCAATGACCCCCCCCAGGGTCTGGTACATTCAAGGGGGGAGCCGGCTCCCCTGTCGTGCAAATGAAGGGCTGGGGGCCCTGCCCAGTCAGCAGCAGTGGGAAGGGGTCTGAACCCAAGCACTCTCCTCTTGAGTGGAGGAAAGCGGGGAGGGCTGGGCCCACTCAAATGCCTGGTAGGGGGGAGCTGTGCTTGTGCCCAGAAGTTGGGGACAGACACAGTTTGAGGGAGAAGGTATTGGGGGGTGGTGGTGGTAGAGATGGTCACGTGATCACAAAAGCATCAGGGATCAGAGGTCACGTTCCCAGCAGGCTCCAGTGGATCAAACCAGTAAAAGCAAAAGCCCAGGGAGGGGAGAGAGGGGCGGACTGGGAAGCCTGGCTGTTGGGGGCGGGCTGGGTCCAGTCGGGGCAGCCCCAGCCCAGGGCCTGTCACCAGTTCATGATGCAGTTACGGTTCAGAGTCATGAAGTAAACTTGGCTGCTGCCCCCGGAGCGAACGGAGGCAAAAAATACCTGGGGGGGGGGGGGCGTGTAGAAAAAGAGGTCACTGGGGGCTGGGGTCTCCCATAACTGGGAGAGGAAAAGGGAGAGAGGCTGAAAGAGAAAGAGCGAGCCTGCAGCATTAATTTCTGAGTGCGCTGCCCCATCCTCACAGAGAGGCAGAAATATTTCAGGAAGACCCAACCATCCTGCATGCCCCTCCCTAGGCCCTCCCCCCGACCCTGCACCACGGGGGTTGGGTCTGGGGGCCCTGGGGAGGGGTGGGGAGCCTCACCTTGTCATTGCGCTCACACAGGAACTTGAGCCTCTGGGCTCGCTTGTGCATGAAGACGCCGTCCAGGTGGCCGGTCTCCACTGAGCGGATCTCGATGGCTTTCTCACCCCAACCCATGATCTGGTTGGAGCAGATGTAGGCTGGGGGAGGGAGGAGCAGAGGGAAGAGTGAGGAGGCTACCGGCCAGGCTGGCCCCCAGGCCACACTCCAGGGCCGCTTGGCGATGTGCGGCTTGGCGGGCAGGCCCCTCACTCACCCACGGAGGTGGGCATCTCTCCCCACTGCAGCACCACATCCTTGATGATGCGCCCATACGTGTTGACGTACACGCCCTCGTCCTCGTAGCACAGCAGCATCTCCATGCCATCGGTGTTGGGGAGGAAGATGATGGCGTGCGGGGTGATCTGGCTCTGGATCTGGGAGAGAAGGGGCGCTGGGGTGCCTGGGTCTGGTGCCAGACGGGGGTGGTGCCAGACGGCCCCACCCCACACTCACATGGACAGGGATGTAGATGTCGTAGCTGTTCCCCGAGTCAACATCCACCGCATGGAAGCCAGCGCTGGAGCCGTAGATGACCTTGAGTCGCTGTCCCTCCTCCACTGTCAGGTCAACCAGCAGAGGGCGGTGTGGGAGGTCAGCAAAGGACTGGGGGAGAGAAACGTGCTGAGTGCACAGAGGAGCCAGCCACCCTGGGCCAGCGTGAGGCGGCTAAGCCTGGGATTACCTTGAAGGCCATGAATTTGTGGTAAGGTTTGGGGGCCCACGCATACACCTCCACGGAGCTCTTCAGGGCAATGACCAGGAACTTGATGCGCTCGTATTTCACTGCGGGCAGGGAAGAGCAAGGAGGTGGCCACCCCTCAGTCCCCAACCCGAAGCCCAGGGCCCCACTCTCCGTGGCTTTCTTAGCCATGGAGCCCCCTCCCCACCCCCGCTTCTCTCTACCCATAAGCCACCAGCCCTGCCCTCACCGACACGATAGTGCCCACAGCCCTCCATGTCCCCCACGGTGGTCCAGCCCTGCTTCTTCTCCACTTCTGGGTCATTGTGCAGAATCTTGTTCCGCAGCCACGACAGGTAGTACACTCGCAGCTTGTTCCTCTTCCCTGCAGGACATATGCGTGCACACTCGCCACCCGCCTGACCCCGCTGGCCACCTCTGGGCTGGCTCCCTGCCCTCCTCCCCACTGCATGAGGCAAGAGAGCAGCGGCAGCGCCCCCC